AAATCCTAAAATACAAAACAAACTCCTTCACTTAATTAAAATCCATCATTGAGCCTCTATATCCTTTTATAACAATTAATTAAGTCCCTAAACAATTAATTACAATCAATTGAACTCTTATTTGATGAAAAATTCAAAAATCATTAATTTTTTTTTTTACCAATTTGGATCGAACTATCATGTGACACGAATGACATAGAATAAATACTACCACGTGACATATTTTTGACATGTATCAAAATAAGAAAAAAATGACCATTTTTTGAGCATGTATCAAAAATAAAGGGAAAAAAAGACATTTTTTAAATGCCTAGAAAGTGCCGTACCCACAATTTTTATTCCATGTTGTTTGCAGCACATGGCTATTCTGTGTTAGTTTACTAGTGGTAAAATTTTCAAAATGATTTTTTATTTTTTGTTTTACAAACAAAGAGCTAAACTTAAATAACTTAATTTACGTAATTAACAAAAATTCAACGACCAAAATCACGCTAATTACCAAAAAGAGAATGAAGACTAAATCATGTATTATCCCTTTTAGCGTTGCAAGTGAATGATGGAGTTGCAGAGCCAGATATATGGTTCCTTGTCCAATCCAATGTCCATTTCCGGATATTTTAATGACTGAAGGCAAGCGCAATAATTTCGCAATTTAGAAAAAGAAAAAAACGTACACATTTTGTCCAGTCAAAAACTAATTAATAGGAAAACTAGGTAATCACGTGCTTTTTGTGGATGTAGGCATCAAAATATTAATTTACCTACAAAAATTGGATCTCCAAATGAGAAAGTGGCCGTTAAAGTCATTGCCACGACAGGATATATATATATATCCTGAGCAAGCCGTTTCAGAGGTTTGTCACAACTCAGGCGTGCTCTTAGTTCCCTGGTCACATCGATCCTTGAAAAGGGCTTCAAAATGGGACGACGACTTTAGAAACTATTATATAACAAATAATTAGGGTTCCATCTCTTTGTAGGAAATATACATATACATATTTCTGATTTGCACTTCAATTTTAGTGTCACTCAAAAGATGTCAGTATTATTTTATCTGAACGCAGCAGTTTGACTAGAAAATTTATCATTCGTGTTCTTAGAGTTGGTCCCATCCTGAATCACATTGCTTTCGTTATGTATGGGAACCGAAGATATGCTGAAAAGAAGAAGCTGGAAGACGGGGCTGGCCACGATGCAGGCATTTTGACTCTAATATATATTGTTTATGCTTTATATATTTACTGCTATGAGCTTGCCTTGGAGTGAAAGACGTTACTGCCTACTCCTTTAGCATTGACAGTTTCAAAAGAAAGCCGGTAGAAGTTCAAAGACTAATTATGGATTTGATGATGCTAAAGATTGCACTCTTTAACTTCCATTGTGAAACGTTCTGCAGTGACAGTTCGTTTTGCAGGGAACCTACAACTCTTTGACTGCTGGTCTTAGGGATGCAGCCAACAAACTTATGGAAGCTGCTGTTGATTTCTCTAAAGGTGTGCTCACAATTTGTATTGCCTACGCTTGCACCAACGAGATCTTGCATGCCATTCAAGAATCTTGTGAAGCAAAATGCAATGATCGTATTCAAGAAATGATCATTAGTCATCATCATGGTGATGATCACTGCCTTATAAATTAAGTTAGCGGACCTTGAAAAGCACATGTACATAACATGGCCATTGCACCAGATCCTGACGTTGTAAATCCGAACGGGAGGGGAAAACCGCCGAAGCAATTTCCTCATGTGGCAAAGCTCTAGCAGCCATTTGTCTACCATGTTCATTCTTTGGCCAGAGATTGGCTACTTGCATTTGATGTGGGCTATCTTGAATTTTCAGCGAAACCACCCTTATTTTGAGAAGAGCAAGAATTAAGTCTAGCTTTAAACCTTACAAATCGTTCATAGTTTTAGTCCTCTCCGCCCTAGTAAAGAATACTGGTATTAGTTGTTATTAGTTCCTTTTATTATTCCAGTAATTAACCAGTTACCACCCAAGTTGGCTTCTCTCTCTATATATATATATATGTAGGATTCTTCAATGGACCATGGAGTCTAGTCTATAACGAGTAGTGAATAATAAAATAGCTCTAGCAACTGTGTTGTGCTAGTTAAATAAATTAGCGAGGAAATCATTTGAGTTTCAGAAGGCGATCCCTTTACCTATCTCATACCCCAGTTTTGAGCTCCATTTCGTGTTGCTATCTCAAGTGCTAATCAATTCATAAGCAGACGTGATTTTCTTGTTTTTTATAAGGAAAACCACATTCTATGCTTATATTAGTAACTAAACTTCCACTTACACGTAACTGAAATTCAAATGGATTTTCATATATATTAATAAAAAAAATTCTAACAGTACTATTACATATAATTGAATAATATTTTTTTAAAATTGATATAACACGATAACATAATCACAATAAATTTATTACTTTTTACATCAATGTCATATTAATGGGAATTGAATATTAAATGACAACTCATATTTTGTAATTGTTAGTTATAAAGATATAAATTTGATGTAAAATAAAAATATATAAATTTAGTTAAATGAATAAAAAATAAAAAATTATTTAATTATTTTAAATAAATAAGAAATTTTTTTAAATATCATATCTTAATTTTATTAATAATAAGACGAAATAGAATTTTTACGTAAAATAAAAGATGCGTGGAAATAAAAAATTCACACCTCCAAGTTCGTAATTAGCCAGTCTTCATGAACAGTTGTAGGTGTTTTCTCACTGAAAACAATTAACAGCTGGTTTAAGATTTGGATGCATTCTGCGGGCCCCTTCATCCACGCAATTTATTGATCATTTGGAATGAACCAAATGCGTTAGCTAGCTGCTAGTCTTCTCACTGCCCACTAGGTGGAACGGTTACATCATGATTCAAGATCAAATTTGTGGAACTGTTCTATATATATATATTAAGAAAGATACAAACAATGGCCAAATAAAAAAAATTAGATACCGAATAATTAGGACAAAAAGAAGAAATCTCAATGGCCCTAGAATCCTGATTTTTCTTTCTAAAACTAAAGATAAGATGATCTTTCCTGTCTTAGACCTGTATGTAAGATCCAAGTCCAAAAGGGAGGAAAATACAGTTCAATCACCGAAGGCATCCATCAAAGGATATGTCTGGTCAGCCCCATTCAACTGTAGCATGGACCTTCCAGATTTGTAATTTAATTATTTATCGCTTTTTGCTCTACTTTTCTTTTTAATTTATGTTATGCGATTGTTAGGTATGATTGAATGAAGGCATCTAACTTAAGATGGACAGACGACAAAAGCATTCTAATTGCATCAACGATATGTCTAAGTGTAAAGAGGAAAAAGGGGAAAACCTTTGATTATAAGGTCCAAATTTTAAGGTAATTTATAGGGTCTTGAGTCTTAATTAAAAAAACAATCACATAAGGATGAAATGATGGAGGGAAAACCATAGAGAGAAAGATTAATTAAGGTACCCTTAAAAGAAGAGCCCTTCTTCCTCTCTTCTTCAACCTCTTTAGCCTGCTAGTGCTGGCACTGCCACTCTCTCCGACCCTTTTGCACTGGGACTCTTTCACACCCTTTTCTTATATGTAATGCCAAAATCTAAAACTAACCCAACCTTTGTCCATTTTCAGTTGTTTTTTTGTTTTTATATGCTTACTTTTAGCTTCCCTTGTCCCTTAAAAGAAGAACCCACTGCAGTTCTCAGGCCTCCACAGGGCACTAAAAAACTAAAAATCACCCCTCACGCATGCAACACTAAAATTTTGTGTAATCTCTAGAGATTTTTGGGGTGACCCACAGATAAACATTTGGCTGCCATGTTATAAAAAGAATTGTCATGATATTATTTGAAGTGGATTAGCAGAAAATTTTGTGCAATTGTTTAAGGTTTGGCATATTTAATTGGCTAGGGAGAGAGGTGATCACCATAAAGGAAGGCTGCAGGTAAAGCTTATGAGCCCCAGCATGCGTGACTACTCTATCAATTAATTAATGCTTTCTTTTCGTTTTTATGAATCGCTGATAATGTCCTTGGATCAGATAAAAAAGATAGTGAAGAAATTTATGTTCATCTTTTTTCTTTTCCCAATTGAAACTGGGGAGGAGGGAGATGGACGAATCTTTCAAGTAACGAGGAAGAATGAAAGTTTTTGAACTAATTGAAAGGCATGTGCGCCTATGACTTTCTTTAATCAACTTGAAGGGTTCCGAAGAATAATAACACTTGACTAATACTTATATTTCTAGGGGACTAGCCGCCTAGATTACAAGAAAATTTGTAAGCATATGAGCTGTGCATGTAAACATAGCCTTTGAATTGCTTAATATCGTCATCTAAAATTGGATATTAGAAGTATTTAATTTCTATATGCTTTGCAATTAAAGCAGCTTTAGGCCTAAGGGTCCACGCAATTAATTTAACTGATTCCTTTGGATATATACAGTATGATTATAAAATAATTTTAGATCATACCAAGATTTTGATTTTGGACTTTTCGAGCTACTACTCTAAAAAACAAAAATTTCCCTAACAACTTGGTCTTTAACACTTTATTTCCTCTTCCGAATTTGAGGGACATGTATGCTTTTAGCGAGCATAGGCAAATATTATTAGATTAACAGAAATTCTCTCATTTGATTGTATCTATACTATATGTACAGTGTTTTTATTTGGTTGCTGACATGATCCATCTATAAGCTTGAAAGTTATATAATTTGAGAAATGATTCTTTGGGTGATTACTAATTTGGTATATACATGTACAATTGAGCTAATTATTTATCTATCATAGACCATATATGGTAATATGATTAGATTTAATTATTACTGTTTGAAACAATATAGTAAAATTGATGCAGATATATATACATATATTAACTGTGAAAGGAAAAAAAAGTTGTTGCCAGGGTAGCAAGAGCCTGGATTTTTTTCCTGGTTCTTCATAGTCAGTGGACCACAATGACAGCAGTCAACTTTCAGAACGAATCTTAACCATCATTCTTCACCAATAAAATAGGGATTAGGCTTAGAAAATTGGCATTGGCAATACTAATTAAAATATGTAGCCAGGTAATGACATGCCTTAATAATGCAAACCAAGTGGTAGCCTGCTCTACCTTCCCTTCTAAAGCTGTCCCAAATTTATTAAAGTACAGGAAAATGCTTCTCGTAACGCTCATTAAACTATAACTCCTGTCGGTATGAATGACAAATGTCCTATAAAATCTAACGGGATTGCCTTCATTATTTCTTGTTTTATATACTAGTTACATTATTCCAAATAGCAACAGAAAGAAATATGGGAGGTGAACTCTGTGCAAGGATGGGAATTGGCTTGTGCGCAAGGCTGGCAAGGTCATGGAGAAAGATGGAGATGGCTCTCAATGATACAGTTTCCAAGAGCGTAGTTGGCAAGTACTTCAAGCTAGAAGCAAGGAAGAGTTGCTTCACAAAGGAACTGCGAGCCGGTACAGCTACTTTTCTCACCATGGCTTATATCATCACTGTTAATGCTACCATCATTGCAGACTCCGGTGGCACGTGCTCTGCTGCTGATTGCTCGGCTCCGGTGAACCAAACCGCTTCCCCGGATTGCATGTTCAAGCCTAACGCAGGTTATGAAAACTGCCTCTCAAAAACTAAGAGTGATCTTGTTGTAGCCACTGTTTTATCAGCCATGATTGGGTCGTTTGCTATGGGAATTTTGGCCAACATACCTTTGGGCTTGGCTCCAGGTATGGGTCCTAATGCCTACTTGGCCTATAACTTAGTGGGGTTTCATGGATCTGGATCTCTGTCATACCAAACGGCATTAGCGGTGGTCTTAGTTGAGGGCTGTGCTTTCCTTGCAATTGCTGCCTTAGGGCTTCGAGCAAAACTTGCTAGGCTCATACCTCAGCCAGTCCGACTTGCATGTGCAGCAGGAATTGGGCTGTTTATTGCATTCGTAGGGTTGCAAATCCACCAAGGGTTAGGCCTAGTAGGACCTGATCCATCTACACTGGTGACAGTCTCAGCCTGTGCCAGCACAGATCCTGTTACTGGCAATTGCCTTGGGGGCAAAATGAGAAGCCCAACATTTTGGTTGGGCTTCGTGGGGTTTCTGATCACTTGCTATGGGTTAATGAAGGAGATTAAAGGCAGCATGATATATGGGATTCTATTTGTTACATTAATTTCCTGGATTAGGGGCACTGCTGTTACATACTTTCCTGACACCACACTTGGTGACGCAAATTACAATTATTTCAAGAAAGTAGTAGATTTCCACAAAATCCAGTCCACAGCTGGAGCTATTAGCTTCAGCAATTTCAATAGGAGTGAGGTTTGGGTGGCTTTGGCAACTTTGCTCTACGTTGATGTGCTTGCCACAACTGGCACCTTATATACAATGGCGGAAATTGGAGGTTTTGTTGATGACAAAGGAAGTTTTGAAGGAGAATACTTGGCATACATAGTCGACTCTAGTTCCACCATCATGGCTTCGGCGTTAGGAGTATCTCCGATAGCCACCTACGTAGAATCGTCGGCAGGTATAAAAGAAGGAGGTCGAACAGGATTAACAGCTGTGATCATCGGTGTGTATTTCTTCCTGTCATTGTTTTTTACTCCATTACTGACCAGCGTACCCCCATGGGCTATTGGTCCTTCCCTAGTAATGGTTGGAGTGATGATGATGAAAGTGGTAAAGGACATTAACTGGGGAAATATGAAGGAAGCAGCACCTGCTTTTGTCACCATGTTGCTGATGCCGCTAACCTACTCTATAGCAAATGGAATTATTGGTGGCATTGGGCTTTATGCTGCTCTTAGCTTGTATGATTTAGTACTGGAATTGATTAGGTGGTTGAACAAGATGAGGAAAATGGTAGTCTCGGAACAAAATCAAGTGTCAGCTGCTACAACTGGGGCAGAGTCCTCGGTTGAAATCATTTGAATGGTAGAGAAATTAGTCGGAGTTTTTATTAGGGGCTGCAAGTTTCTTGTAAACAAAAATAGGTGGGGAACAAGAACAAGTAAACTCCAACCCGTCAGTACCCCCATCATTTTCTTGCAGGAAAATTTGCCTGTTGCTAGTCACATTATTGTCAAATTGGTAGTACAACTTTTGAGTGTAGTTTCTAGTTTGGTATATTTATGATAGAATTAATTTTCCTTCTACCGTATCCTTTTTGTCCACTTTTTTTTTTTTCGGAATCTTTTTCTATTACTTAAAAATAATTTTTTATTATTTTATATTCATTTGATATTAATATAATAAAAAATATCATGTAATTTATAATTTCAAAATATCATATTATTACATTAAATAATATAAAATGATAAATAATATTTTGATTAATAATAAATCTCAACCGTTAGTCAAATTAACATATTGAAAAACATGATTTAAAAGTACTAATAATTGATTTGAATCTAAAAGCCATCCAAAACGTGAAACAAAAGGAACGTAAATATTTCACGTGGTCGGACATGCCATGAACGCCTAGAAGCTTCAAGTCAAACACGACAAACATAAAAGACTTTAGTTGAATATCATCGCAAGCCCGTTTGCAGCGTCGTCATGTTTTGAGTTTTTTCAAAAACAGAAGTGTGATCCCATACAAATTCCTTGAGCATTCTCTTGAATTTGCAGAATTCACATTTTTCAGACAAGCCCCAATTTCCCACCTTTACTGCTACCCTTTTTCACGATTTAATCAAGTTAGTTCAATAGTTGTAATCCACCAATAGTTGTTGTTTTTATTTTTTCAGAAAAACTTGAATCAAGACCCAATTTTGGCAAACAGAGAGGGTTGTTTCATTCCTGCAGGCTCCAGCTTTGTATATATGGGAAGTTGGAGCAGCAGCCCAATTGGCCCAATAGTCCAACCGGCAATAATAATCAGTTGACTGGAGAACGGTTTCAAGAGGGGCAGAAGCACCTAACCCACCCATTAACTGCTCCATAACATGGTCAAAGGGCAAAGCTTTTTAGGAAGTCAAAAAATCAAACGAAGCTTAATTAATTTGAATTCAAAAATAAAGAATACAAATCAACTGACCAATCCTCCTTCTCCTTTATTTATTTTTTGGTTTTAAAAGGTGTTTGATGGATATTAGGATTCCAACTCCATTGCACCTTGCTGTCCCTCCCACCTGCTTCTTCTTCACTCTTTAGGCCCTTCTGTCGTTCAACAAACAACAAATTTTCAAGTTTCTAGAATATTTGTTTTTTTTTAAAAGAAAAAACAACAACCCGGAGTTCTAAATTCTACCTTTTTTTTTTCTTTGTTTTACATTTTTGTTGTTAGCGTGTTAAATTTGGTCTAAACTTTAAAGTAAAGGGAAATTATGGATTATTTTGAGCTTTCTGCAAGTTCATCTTACCAGGATTACCTTAAGGTTCTTGAAGCTGACGTTCAACATGCCAATATGCTGTGAGTTAACCCTCTTTTCCATTTTGGGTTTGCTGTTGTTTTTATATGCAACTGGGACTTTTTGATGTTGACTGGTAATTGAAACTTTATGGGATTCTGTTGGACATATAGCTTTGATCATGTTTAATGGGTTTTCTGTTACTATTCAGCAATCCAGACAAGGTTAAACTTTTATTTAAGCCAGGATGTGAAAAGGCCTCCTTTCTTGACAGATTCAAGCAATTTGTTTTTTGTCAAGAAAAATATTTGATTGGGTGTTTACAGAGTTTCAGGGATCAAACGAAAATCTGCAATTTTTGTATTAGTATCTCCTTTTGTTTTGTGCAGCAATATTTCATAATTTGTGTTACATTGCTTTCTGACTTTGCACAGTTATAGTTCAATTCTACTCATTTTCTGTTTTTTTTTTCGTTTATATATAATTATATTTTTTTACTTTTGTTTTTTAAATTTTTGTTAGAGCGGCTTCTATTCCAAGAGCTAAGGGAGGTGCATGTCTTCAAATGAAACTGGTTTACAATCATTTGGCACCCATTTTCTTGTTTTTTCTTCAATGGTTGGATTGCTCATGTTCATGTCTACTTTCAAGTTATGTAAACCTATTTCACATTGTTGTGTATCAGGTCAGTTAATTTACACTCACTTATTTATGAGTTTCTATTGTGAATTCAATTATTTAGTTTTTCTCTATTTCTTCCTTTCGTTGTTGTTGTTGTTCCGCTTTCCTCTTCTACTTTCAATTTTCATTTAGAGAATGAAATCAATTAGAGTTAATGAATCTTGTCTCGTGTGCTCGTTAATTTATATTCTTAGGTATGCTCTGATGGAAGGTCAAGTACCTCTTCATGCAGAAGGAAAGCAACCATAAGGGAATTCTACTGTATGTGAAGTGAACTATCATCTCTGTCATGTTGTTTTGTTCTTAATTTACGCAATATTTGGATTTAAATGTAGAAACGAAGTGAGAGATTGAACAAAAGGAGGAAGATTTTGAGTAATATTGAAAGGAAATTTTTTTTATTCAGTTGTTTGGACTTGAGAGAAGTGAGAAGTGAGCAATGAAATGAAACTAAAGTTTGATAGTTGATTAACCTCTCATTTAACAATTCAGGGGATATTTTCAGAGCTTAGTAAAATGTTTTATCAATAACCATTAGTGCCATCACAGAAAATGGACATTTGGAGATATTCAAGTAGAGGTCAGGAAAGAACTTGTGAATCATATTTCTCTTGTTTTGCACTTCTCTTTTCCCTTTGACTATCCAAACAAGAGAAATCATTGAGTTTTTCACTTCTCTCAATCCAAATAAACTGGTAAATGTTAATAATCTGCGTAGTATTGCATCTTCATCATGCACAACATTCATAGCAAGTGGCTTAACAAAAAAAACATTTATAGCAAGTCTCTTTTGGTCTATATTCTTAATTAAGGAACCCTAGAATTGAGTTTGTATGCAATAATCTAATCTAGATCACAATCCAATCCTCCTAAAATCCTAAAACCATCTATTTTATAATATTGAATTGTCTTCTTTAGAATTTATGCTATCAACTTGGAAAAGAATAGGAAGGCACTCATGTTATCAGAATTCATAGATTATGGATGTGAAATTGCAGCTGTCATATTACCATCTCTTCAGCGTCTTCACGGTGATCTGTCGGAGCTTGATGTAACACCAGGGGAAGATCACTGCTTTGAGATGGTTGTCAGGAAGAAATTAGAGGATAAGAGGAAAGTGACAGATATGGAGTTGGAGAGAGAAGATGAATGTGGAATCTGTCTAGAGCCGTGCAACAAAATAGTTTTGCCAAATTGCTGTCATGCAATGTGTATCAATTGCTACCGTGATTGGTATGTAAGACCTCATTTTCCTGCTTTTGGACTTTGCCCTTGGCTAATATTTGGTAATTAAGAAAATCCTTATCCTTAACATCTGACCTGTTCTTTCATCCTCTTGTTTCCACACCTTACAGGAGCATAAGATCAGAATCTTGCCCTTTCTGTCGTGGAAGTCTAAAAAGAGTAACTTCTGGGGACTTGTGGGTTCTTACACGCAGTACTGAAGTGGTTGAAACTCAAACAGTGTTAAAGGAGGATATGTTGCGCTTACATTTGTATATAAACAGGCTGCCTAAGGATATGCCAGATGCTTTATTCTTGATGTATTATGAGTATTTAATCTAATCTGATAGGTGAGAGTTCTGATGTACAGAGAGAAAATTGCCAACCACCGGATGTGCATATGTTCTGGTGAGATTTTCATGTCGAGAATTTCAGTTGCAAAACATGTTTTCAGCAAAATGATGTATATGATTATGTAAGATCTCCAATTATTAATATATTAATAAACTCTCTGATATCCCCCCATCCTTAAAATTTCTTCTTGTTGACAATGCTCCAGGAAACACTTAATTGAGTTATTGTTGGAGGCTGGTTAACAGTTATGAGCCTGAGTTTCCATTATAGACTTCTTGCGTATGATTATTTAGACTTTGTAGTGCTTCAAGGTTTTAGGCACTTATTTCAGTAAAATTATCACAGCACAAGCATATATATATATGCCAGTTTGTTGTAGTAATTAGGGTGCTGGGTATACCCTTGTGACTTTGTTTGCAATTTTCATATCTGCTAATGAATTGACTGTGCTTGGCCAGAGAAAATAATTACCCTCCCCCTTGAGTTGTCAGCAATCAGGCTTGATTGTAAACATTTGGTCCATTCTTTGACGACATGAATGTCAATATGTTGTAGTTGAATACTGTAATTTGCTTTAAAGCGATTGTTTGGGAACGCGTCATCCTTCCAGCCTTTCTAAGACTGTAACGTCCCAGCTTGGAAGATGCAGAAAGCAGCACTTGTTTTGTTCTGTTATAGTCTTGAATCTTTAAGTCATGTTAGAGCTAACGCAAATTCTCAGTTTTTGAGGGTGGGTTTCATCTTGCATTGTTCAGTAAAATTTTGGGAATGTTAGAGCTTGCACATTCTTTGCTTGTAATTAGGGACCTGATGCAATCTAGCTCCAAAGTTGCCGCGCTTGAGAACTTCTCTCATGGAGGCCTGTATCAAATGTGCAAGTAATAACGCATACATACTAAGTACCAAAAACGTATAATTGAATGTGGAAGTCTTTGGCACGAGCAAGTAAACCTTTCATCGTTGTCAAGGAAGTAAAAACCAGTTACTTCATTATGATCAACCAGTTATGGATGCTTAACAGAGCCAGAGGGACTCTAAACTTTCCTAATGGAGCGAATCTTGCTTAACTAATTCATTTACTCAAAAATAGAATGAAAATTACACAGAATCACACACACACGCGCATAAACAAATACGTGCATACATAAATATATGTATATATGTTGTAGCAAAACGAAGAGAGAGATCCATACAAGGTCTCTAAAAGTATACAAGGGAAAGTTGATGTCACATGCTGCAAACTGCTCGCAGTTCCAAATTAAGGAGAATGAAGAAACTAGCATTTCGGCTTGAGTATGACCCGGCGGGTCTGTGTATTTTGAAATGCAGGAGCGTGCGAAATGGTGCAGGAAGCAACTGCCAAGGATACACCCACCATC